AGAATTTGCACCTGGTTTTTCTCTCTCCGCCTCCTCGGCTGATTTTAGAGCTCGAACTGAATCACCTGAGCCTTGCGTGTCGATGTTGACGTCCTCCGTCGAGTGGCTCCGCGGCGGCGCTTCTCGTTTACACAAGTCTTTTCTTTGTGCTCGCCGCCGTCGACTGTTCACACATCATTATTCCAGTCACACGCACGCTAAAACAGAATATCAGTGTCGTTTAAAGTTCCAGCCCATTTACCCACACAATGCATGTCGTAAGTAATTACATCAATTTTATTTTTTGTCATTTTTGACGGTTATTTCAAACCTGGCTGCCAGTGAACGGTTCCTCTGGCAAACAAAGCAGCTGCATGTTAAAAAAAAGACATAGATGTGACAATTAAGTTTGTCAGGCGTCGTGTTTCTGGAGTATTTCCTGGCACAGATTCACACGTCTTTGGCGCCTGTCAGATAAGTGACAGGAAACAGTCGACATTTTTATATTAACCATAGGACATGGCTTCCTGTCAGCCTTCATTAACAGAGGTGGGAATATTTCCAGCTGAAGTGACACCAGTCCAGAAACAGACCTGCTGCAAGGATCTATATTRGTCCTACTGGTGTCACTGCGCTGCTAGTTACCTGAACAGGTGTTTTTTCTGCTGAAAGGACCAAAAACAGTTCACACAATTATGTAAAGAATGATTTAAAATGACCTGAGAGGACTTCTGATCAACATAACTCTGCAGAATTAGATGAATCATTGATTCTTAACATGCTGGGATGGACATGGTAAAGCTTTCAGCAATAAGAGCTTCAAATGCCTCAACAGGCCTTTGAGTGCAAACAAAAATAAATAAATTCAGTCAGACCTCAGGGTTGCATCGTTTTTTTTTTTCTTTGTAGAAAAGGTGGTTCTGTTGGCGTCTTCAAGCTCTGGAGTGGAAGCAACTAAAACTAGAGAAATTGCATTTTACATGAATGCTTACTGCTGAAAGCTGCTGAAATGGAGCTGAAAATGTTTTAATAGCAAAACATTTAATACAAGTTCAATTTGAAATGCTGAAAGAAGCATAAAAAGTTCAACTTAGCAGAAAAATAGCTGAAAAAAAAAGCTAAAATTGGCTTAAAAACAAGCTAAAGATATAGACACAAGTTGGAATTAGCACCCAGATGGTGAAAGAGTATTAAAGTAATCTAATTAGCAGAAGGAACRCATAGAAATACAAAAAAGTAACAATTTGTTGTAAAATAACAAACAGCCAAAATGTGCAGTGAAACAGCTAAAATGTAGCTGGAAATTCCTAAGTTAGCATAAGAAGCTGAAATAACCACCAACATGTGAAATGAGCTCAAAACAAAGCTAACTTTAGCTAATAACAGCTGAACATTAGCTAAAATTGCAGCAAATAGCTGAGCTATTTCTGCTTCTTACAGTTGCTTTCTGCTATATTCAAATTAGAAGAAAGAAGCACAAAGAAGCAGAATTATAACTTTGGACATGTTTTTTATGAGAATATAACATTATAACACGATATAAAACTCAAAAAAGTTGATTTTATGTGATATTGCTGTCAGATGGACATTAAATTACACCTTAAAAAGAAATGAACCAGACACAGACACAAGTATTCAGTTTAAAACAGTTTTCTCTTTGCAAAGAGGGAGAAGTTTCTGAGGATGCTTCAGACCGGTCTCAGCAGAAAGTTCTGACCTTGGCCGGGGAAGCTGAACCATTTATTACAGAGAAAAACATCTTGACCAATCACAGGGTTGCTTCTTATCAGTTAGTGCAGCTCAAAGCTGCAGAGATGAAAATGATGGCAGCTTACTACAGGCCTGTTCTCAAAGCTTCATTCATTCAAGAAAGACATATTTAATACAATTGATTWATGCARTAGGATCAAATATAAAAAATGATAAAGTTTAAAAATATCTATCTATTGCCCCTTTTTAAAATAGCACAAAAATTGTGAAAGAAGATACGTGCCACACAACGTGCAGAAGAAATCTGATCTTTGTAGTCTGAATGTTTGAGAAACTTCTCAAAGTCCACGGTTCTCATCCAGAACATGAAATGTTCTCCAGGTTGGGGACGAGTCGCCTCAAGCAGAGCAGTTCAGGAGAAAGATGGATGCTGAAGCTCTGCTTCATCTGACTGAAAGAAGCAGCTAAAAGAGCTGCTTTCAGTCGGTCCCAGATTTAGAWATAGAAACTGGAGCTCACTGAGGTCCTCCTGGTTGCTTCTCACTGAGAGGAGAGCCTGAGGGGAAACCCAGGAACAGTTTCTCCCTTCTAGCCTCAGAAGGTCTTGGTTTTCCTCAGGAGGAGCAGAGTGGTGTCATCGGGGGGTGTRTTGTTTCCAAATAAGTGAACAAACATGGATGATGTGTGTGAAGCTCCTGCGGTCCAAGCCTCCCACATGATTTATCCCAGYTTCAGCAACCATTAGCGAATGTTTTCCTGTTGGCCTTCACCTCCTGTGCATCAGTTACGGTGCGTTTGGCGGCGTGGAGCTGCAGAGCAGTTACCCGTGAGTCAGGAAGTGATGAAGTGGTGCAGTGCGAAAGAACTGAAGCAAAAGGTTGTCAGATTTGTGACAAAYTGGGAGTAAGAGAGTTTGGGTGCTCGTAAAGAGGACGGACCTAACCACCCAATTCCTCTTCCCACCGAGGAGAGCTCCGCTGCAGAGGCCTGAGACCAACTCTATGTTGCATCATATAAACACACTCTCAGCTGCTGATCTTTGTTCAGCACATCGTCCTTTACAGCGTTTTTCTCCAGTTTTCTAATTTCACTCAGTCTATTCACAGCCTGCGTGTCACTTAGCAAATCGTGTAAATCAAACCGGGGGTAAAAAGGCAGTCGGGTACTCAAGAAGCCATAAATCTAAGTTAATTATGTCACATCAAACACATCTCTCTGCTGGATTAGTCATGGGAAATGAGAACAGAGTGAGTTTTTCTCCTTCTGCAGCATTCTGGAAAAAGTTCCGTCATGATGTGTTTGAGTTAATTTGCCCGACTCGACATCAGAAGACTTGTGATGTGTCGATGCCGAGTGTAATTTACAGGGTGTGAGGGGGGCTTCAATGAAAGGAAAGACCTCATGAACTGAGAAAAGTGGTCATTTATTAAATGATCGCTCCTTGGGAGCTTGGTGCTGATGTCAGAGGACAGTGAGACAAACATGTTTTTAAGCTCCGCCTCCTTATTTAGGAGCATCTCTAACTCAGAGTCCATGAAGATAATCTTTTTCCTGTATGGAGACAGTTTTTGGTCATGCACAGAAGATCATGTTGCAGATTTGAATCGAGGGAGGGGTCGCGTCTCGTACCCTGATCTGGATGTCCCACCCACTTCGACTGTTATCATCCATGAAATGGACATTATTAGGTGTTATCAGTCCTCTAGAATGGCTTCAGAATGTCCCGCCTGTGCCGGTTAGCAGGTTCCCCCATCCCATAGAATGGCTTCTGATTGTCAGCTGGTTAGTATGAGACATAAAACCACTATCTGGTTAGTATGAGGCATAAAAAACTGGTTAATATGAGGCATAAAAAACTGGTTAATATGAGGCTTAAATCCACTAAGGTTAACTTTAGAGCAAATGACATGGTTAGTGCTAAAGACACCGCCCTCCAACAGTTGTATATTGTGGCCTTCTAATAGGGCAATGGGTAGAGTGTTGGACCAGAGAGTGGGAGACCAGGGCTCAACACAGACACAAAAAATTATTACATTATGTTTTGGTTATTTACACTTTGTCATTGATATATTGATATATATGCCCACTAGGGGGCAGTGTCAGAACAGCCTGAAGCCTAGAAGGCACAGTAGGGACCCTCTGAAGCCATTGTATGGGACTGATAACGC